GCTGTGGAGTCGGAGTCGGAGTCGGAGTCGAGGAGTCGGAGGAAATTTCGGCTTGTGGAGTCGGAGTCAGTAAAATTGTCCAGACTCCGACTCCGACTGAAGCTATTCTGTTCCTAAGAACAAATATATGAACTCAGGCATATTCATTGCAGTGATTCCACTGATCCCACTAATTTTCTTAAATTATTAAAAGAATTTATTTCCATTTTATAAGCATTATTATGAATTTATTGTAGCAGGCACAGTATAGCACTATAATTTTGGACGTTAGTCTCTTCTTTATCATTTGAAATTTTGAATTATATCAAATTTTGTTTTGTTGAAAACTGCACAGAGGCTCTCAGTTACAAAACAATTAGCTACAACCTGTTTTTGGTGAGATTAAGGCAAATTTAATTTAATAACTTAATCATGTAAGGTTTATCCATTTTCCTTAATAAGGTATTCATTTCTTTAATGTACATAAATATATAACTTTACTTTAAAAGGAATTGTAGGATCATCATTTAGATCCACATCAGATTATGAGCTTAAACAAAATTCATATGCTGAGATCGAACTTTTAGATATACATGTAAATGGTGTTTTCTAGTTAATATCTTGAATTCTTAATAAATTTATTTTTCTTTTGATTGAAACTTTGAAAGTCAAGCCTATCATCTTTTTGTAGTTCTTAAATATCGTCCAGATCATTAATAAAGCAGTATAGCCACGGTGTTTTACTTTTTACCTATGCAGGTTACAACATACAAATTACAATTAGGATGGTAGAAATAGTTGTTACAAATAGGCCAAGGAGTCGGAGTCGGAGTCGGAAGCATAAAAATTTGAGGAGTCGGAGTCGGAGTCGAAGGTTTTGTCTTCGACTCCACAGCCCTGATTATTGCTACACATCTACAGAAGTGCCTGTGCTGTACATGCTATTTATTCCTATGGATAATCAATACTGTACAAGCTGTGTTTTACGCGTCAACACCTAACGTCAACGAGTTTTCAGTGACGTACAAATGCAGCCCCGAAGCGCGTATTCTCCTGTGTATGGGAGTAACATATGCAAAATAAAAAAATATTCATTCATTTTTAATAATTTATTATGATTCATATTATATCATTTTAATTGTTCATTTGTTCCCCCGCAAGAATACTAGCATCTCAAAATGCTTGTCGCTCATTCTGCTGCGCTTGGGCCTCAAGACGCCCTTGCCCATGGAGAACATGTGCTCCACGGCAGCACTAGAGGGGATGAGGGTGTTGTATTTGATGAACAACTCCCTCATGGCCTTGTCGGTCGTCTTTATAACAAGATAATTGAAAATAGAACTTGGAAAAATAAAAAATTTTAGAAGTTGACGAACAAATTGACGCTTGACGCTCCGCTCGGGTGAAAAGTTGACTGCGTCACCTGTAGCATCACCTGCCCCAAAAGTTGATGGAGTCAGCGTTAACAAAAAGTTGCCGCCGTCCACTGACGGCGTTAAATTAACGGCGTCAACGTACAACACTGTGTTCAAGAGTATAATACTGTATGCAGTAGTAAACCACTGGTTAAGGAAAACTTCAGTACATAGAAAAAAAAATCATGCAAATATTAATGTCTGTACACTAAAACAGAGAATACATGGTACTTTGTAATTGACACCAAAGAGAGTTTGCAATAATGTATTTCCATGTATGAGTTCATATGTGATAGATAAAGGTTTTTGTTTCACCCTTGCATTATTTGAAATGTAATTTTTCTTTTGCCTAAGCTTTACAGAAAATTTTCATTACATAGCCTGAATTGCCTCTGCAAAGAATGAATGAATGAATGTGTGCATGCATATGTGTGTGTGTGTGTCCTGGCTTTGATTCCAACCACCCTGTGCTACAGCATTAAATGGCTTAAAAAAATAATAAATAACATAAGTGATAAATATATTTAATAAAAAACAAATACATTCTTACCAAGGCTTGGAACAATAACTTGAGTTGACAGAAGAAGGAACCAGAGGAAGAAAAGTGATGATAACACCAAGAACCCAATAATTGTGACTCTCAAGTGCCCATACACCTTATCTGTAATTCTGGCAGTGATAAATGCTGCTAGACTAGAGCACACCACTGCTGTCACTGCTACCCCTATGGCTTGCTCCTGTAAAAGAAGAATTATTAGCTACATCAGTAGTTAGTTCTTCAAATGAACATGCTAAATCAGTAAGCCTGTAGTGGATTCCTCCCCTACAAACGCCGTTTGTCGCTGAGTAGCCGACCCTCTTCGAATTCCCCAGCCTGAGCCTTGTGGTCTAGGTCGGTAACCAGCGCCGCCTAACAAAGCGGAGGTCAACTATCAACCCACGCCTAACCCCGCTATATAAGACCTCACCCTGCCGTGACCACTCTCTTTCTACCTACAGCCACCAGCAGGCAACACCTCCTCCGCTCCTGCCTGGTGGCCCTCGCTCCCGCCGGCGACCCTGGCCCCCTACAAGCTGCCTGTCCTCCTCTGAGCACCCTCACCAACCAGCTCTCCCTACACCACGCTTGGACTCACGCTGCCACCCCCCAGCACCAAGCTGCATTGTACATCCAATACAATATGTATACGTACAGAGAGCACTTTGTGAGTTTCCTTTCTGCAACCCATCCTGAGTTTGAACCAATATCTCATAACCCCACAAGCCTACATCCCAAAACTTTACCAATGTTATTTCTTTTTAATAACCAGCACCCAAGATATAAGTGTCCTAAGGGCAAACAATAAAGGAAATATACATTTCTTTGTACACAAGTAAAAATGCACCCCCTCCCCTTCCCCCGTCCGCAAATGTTATTCGCGGCCATTATGAGAACCTAACCCCAGCGAATTTGGGGGGCCCCCTGTATATCTAATTTTCTTGATGCTGATCATGATGATGATGTGCATTCTTCTCTAGTCTTTGGAGACATTACCACAGAAATGGATATTTGCATGCATGTCTACCGGGTAGGTCATCACTAATACTGTGCAATTCTTCATATGTACAGGTATTTTATCATGATACAGTATCCTTAGCATTAAAATATAGAGTAACTGTAGGAGGAGAAAGTAAGCTCCTACATTATGTGCACGAGAAGAAAGGGTAAAAAAAAATCTTAAACTATAAAAAACACAATGACCAGCAAAACAAAATATTCATTCAACAACAGAAATGCAGACTCTACCTGATGTATTTGAATGTCAATTAGAGACAGGTTCAAGACTCCAATCCAAACAGCAGGGATACCAAATGAGAAGGCATATGCTATTATCACCAACAGCTGTTGAACATTACTGTGAAAGATATACACTGTGTAGCTATATAAATTCCAAATGGATGTATAACAGTACGGGTATTTGGAAATATTATACATACAGTACAGTAAAAATATTTTTTCATGAAAAATTGGTATTAGCTGACTAAATACTCATACTATTCTGATAAAAAGAAATCAATATAAATATAAAATCAAATGGAAGACTAATGAATACAGAACTTGTCCTTTGCTAGAAGCATTTCTGTACAACTTGGGATTTTTTCTTTAGTACCCTCACAATACAAGTAACATATGGTTATATTTATATAATGGCCACCCAAACGAGAGGTGGCCATGCAGAAGGAAGGAGGCCAGTGGCCTATTACCAAACTTCCAAAAATACTCTTAATGAGCAGGAAATTTAAATAAACTTTTAACTGTTGTATAAACATGCAAATAATAAAGGACTTAAGAAAATTGCAAGAGAAACTAATATTATACACAAATGAAACACACTTATGAAACACATGGTGAAACTTCAAGATAGACATAAAATACATACAGTCATCTTCCACTTAATGTACATGATGCATTCCTGAAAACCCCATGCAGTGTGTTAATTGAACGTATGTTTAGCGGACATTGGTTTCCCATAGAAACCTGCTATAAATTGAAATATGACTCCGAACAATTTGCATTTTTTTCTCTGAATTCCCTTTAATGGGTAAATATGACCTCAGAAACTTAAAACAGCTGAGATTCAACATTACAAAATGTATAAGTACTGTACTGTATGTATCAAGCTAATATCAGTGGTAAGGAAATGCATCAAGGTACAATATACTCCTGATATAATGGACACTGACCCATTTGGACTAGGTTTATATATTACGGACTCGGGTGCGTTAAAGTAAAAAAATAATGGAATTGGGTCCATTATGGTAAACAAAAATTACGGACTCGGGTCTATTGGTATAAAAACTATCACAATTAATTACAGTCATACCCCATTTAGCTTTACCCTGCTTAACACTTATTTGTTATGGAGGCTCTTTCGTCCTTTCCTGGAGTTATTGTTTACTAGGAAAAAATATAAATAAATATGATGGAAATCCGTAATACAAGGCAGAAGTTACAAGACGGAACACTCAGGACTTGCCGACAGCGGCCATCCTTGTTTACATTCTCTCTGACAAAGAGAGCAATATACCCATGTATGCTCACAGTCAATCAGCGCTCTCCACCTTGTGTAAAAAAAATTCCCGGTAGCATTCAACTTATTTGAGATGCTCGCTCTTTATATGAATGTTTTCCACCTATTATACTTGATTTGTGATCCAAATTATTTTATACGAGAAAAAATGATGAAAATCCATAACACATACAAGTCAACTGCTCACTCGTGCCTGGCAGTACAATGGTCATTATTATGCATCATTTTCCCCCCTCCACTTACAACCAACCAGTACCGTACATGTTACTAGCATATAGAGCAACTTTGTTTAATCTCCCATCCAGTATTGTGCTGGCTGTCTTGATGTTGACATATTGGCATCAGTCAGGGGATGATTAAGAACCTAAGAATGGAGGAAACTGCAGCGGGCCTATTGGCCCATACTGGGCAGCTCCGTTAATGTAATGTAGAACTAATTTTTGTACCATATCTATGTATTATGTACTGTATTTTTTATGCATTATGTAAGATATTTAGTGTTCCTTACAGCAGTTTTGAAAGTTTATGCATATTTTGGGGGGTCCAAAACCAACCTAATTATTTCCATTTAAATAAATTAAACTACAATTCATAAAATGATAATTCACAATGTCTTCTGGTATCTAATTCATGACTTATTGTGACTCCAATGTGCAAACAGCTCAGTACAGCTGTACAGTAAGTGAGGACACATATAACATGACTTACTTCATCCTCTTCACCACATGTCAGCTTACTAACCAGTCAAGCTTGAGTGAAGTCAGTCACAATCAGCTCAAATAATGACATTGTAATGATAACAGCATTACTGGGCTAAGGGATCATGTAGTAAAGTTAGTGAATACTGTACTTGAGGATGCCCTTGATGCCACTGAAGAAGTCTATCTTTTCTGTTGCTGATGATGCTGAAGGTGGGGTTGGTGGCTTGGCTGGGAAATACACAATAACAATCAGCAGCAACAGAGCGGCAGCACCAAAGTCTGCCGGCAAAATGTACTCTTCATATAAAGATTTAAGAATTAATTTTCAATTAAAGATCAGGAGTTTACATTAATAGAGAAAAATTAATTTAAATTTAAATTGAGTTTACACTTAAAGTAAGTTTATATGTAAGGAGAGCATTAGTTTGAAAATTAATAAAAGGACACTGTTTACATCTAAAGAAAGAATATGAGTACACTACTGTACTGTATAAGTACTGTACACAAGTGATGGAATAGGAGGTATGAAATGTGTGTACATTATAGGTACTTAGTCTAAACCTGAATATTTAATTGTAAGTTTTTTTTTTTAAGATTACTGTATTATAAAAAGAACAATTTCAAAAAGCCTAATACAATAACTTTCAATTAATAGTAATATCAGGATATGAAATGCCTTTACCACATACAATTTATGAATAGGACTTCTCTTTCAAATTTTCATTATGTACACCTAAAAATCCTGTCAAGAGCAATTTATGTTAAACTGAGATTAAATAATTTATTTCTTACTTACGAATATACATGAGTATCATTATATCACTACGAATTTCCGCTCGCTCCTCATTTGTAGGAATCTTGCTGGGAGACCTCACAACCAGGGCCCCCATATACATTGCAGCACCCCCTAATTGGCACATGAGAGCCCCAACAGCTGATAAATACAAACGAAATTCACATTATGACAAGTAATTAAGAATCACTGGACACCACTGAGGTTGATTTAAAAAAGCTACATTTCTAAATTACTGTAGTACTGTATAGGGAAATATTAATCAAAATAATGCAGGCAGTCCCCAACTTACGACAGGGATATGTTCTTGGACCCTGATCATAAGCCGATTTGTTCATAAGTCAGAACGGATACACCCCATTTTGTGACCAATCCATTTCGTTACCAATATCAAGTCCGTTTTGTCACCACTAACTGTCGCTGGTATCAGCGACAAATTGTAAGTTATTATTTTACACGAATAGAAATTACACATGTATACAGACGACTCGAGAAGTATTGTATTATTATTATACATGAATATTAATTATTTAATAAAAAAAATGATTAAAACAGTGGTAAATAAACAAAATACTGAACAAATGAAGATTTATTGCATTATTACGTATTATACATGAATATTAATTGTTTAATAAAGAAAACAATTCAACATTGGTAAACAAATTACAGAACAAATGAAGGTGACTTGGCACCAGCGCATAAATCACCAAGCAGTGAGACGATTGCAGGCGTATTAACAATTTTTTTTTTTTTTTTCTATCCCAAGCAACAGTTATTTTCGTGTATACAGTGGTCCCTCGGTTAACGAATTCAATCCGTTCCAGCAGGTTGTTCGTTAACCGAAAAGTTTGTTAACCGAAACCATTGTTTCAATGGGTTTTGGGTAATTGGTTCCAGCTCACCGAAAATTGCCTAAATTCAACAAAAATGGTAGAAAAGTTCACTTACTTTGAGGTGTGCATGTAGAAGGCTCCTGGATGATGATGATGATGATGGGAATTAGAATGGGGGTGGAGGAGAAGGAAGAAGAGAAGGCATTGGGGTGGAAGAGAAGTCACCCCATGGCACCATTTCACCCATAAAATTTTAGTTCTCTTGGTGTATTTCAAGATTATTTTCTTTAAATCAACACTGCACTGCATTATATATTGTCAATATGTAAAATATATTTCAAAATGACCAATAATTTGCTTGGAAACACAGAAAAAAGCGTTTAGTTGAAGAGAGTCTCAAGCAAGATGTTACCTCCAGTGAAAACAGAGAGAGACTAACGCCTGTTTGCTGTGTTAAGAGGCTGGATGCCGCGCATTAAACTAGTCACTTTACCTTCAATTATGTTCAATAATTGTTAAAATGACTAAAAAATTGAATATTAAACTTTTAAAATTATTGAATAGTATAAACTTCTTGATATTTACTAAAATAGTAAGGAATTTAAGCCCTAGAACCGATTAATGTATTGGCGGACTGCTACTAAAGCTGGTTGCCCGGCCAGTGCAAGCGAAAACATGTTGAGGTCGGTTCGTAAGAAATTCGTTAACCGAATTTTTGTTAGTTAACCGAATTGAAGATTCTTATGGAAGGCAGTTCGTTAACCAAAATTTCGTTAACCGAGGCGTTCGTTAACCGAGGGATCACTGTATATTACTTTTATCCTCTTCACCACTGACAGGCTCGTTAGCCGCTTGGGCGATTGGTTACGTCTCTGTTATGCACTGTTGGCAAGTACTGGGCATGTACAGTCGTGAACAGAAGTCCTGTCGCCCCTTCTGCTGCTCCACGAACCCTGAGATTCAGACTCATGAATCCGAAGCATTTATTGGCAGAATAATGCACCAGTGTCTATTGCTTCGGGTTCATGAGTCTGAATCTCTTGGTTTGCGGAACAGCACAAGGGGCGACAGGACTTCTGTTCACGACTGTACTGGCTCTCTGTTACACACTGTTGGCAAGTATTGGGCATGCAGTGCACTGGCTCCTGAATGTATCTGAACCTGCTCCAGTGTTGGTCAAGACTAGTCTTGAATGAGTCCACACTCGGTGCCGTCACAACACTCTCTGGGAGGTTGTTCCAAGAGTTCACAATTCTCACTCCAAAAAAGTTTTCCCTCACAGTTTTCTGGATTTGTGGCTTCTTCATCCTTGAGCTGTGACCCCTTATGGGGTGGGAGTATGCCATCTCCAGGTATGGACTCTCAACTGAGTAGTGCCCTCTCAGATGTTTATACACTTCAATTAGGTCACCCCTTGCCCGTCTGTAGCATAAGCTAGGCAGTTACAGGAGTTCTAATCTCTCTGGATAACTGAGGTGCTGTAGTGCAGGCACCAGTCTGGTGGCCCTTCTTGGGACATTTACAATCGACTGACAGTTTCTAGCATTGCTTGGGGACCAGATGGTGTGACAGTACTCCAGGTGGGGAAGCACCACACTCTTGAAGATTGTTATGAGGGATGGACCATCTAGATATCTGAACGACCTTCTTATAAGACCTACTAGTCTAGCTGCTTGATTCACCTTCTTCTCACAATGGCCTGAGAACTTCAGTTCATTGTCAACATACACACTCAGGTCCTTTTCATATCCCATTGGGACATGTGATATGCCTCCTTACTGTTGGTATGACCTAGGTGCATCCTCTTACAATTTGTGACATTGAATCTTAGCAGTCATTTCTTTGACCACTCTTGAAGCTGACAGATCTTTCTGTAGCTCTTCGTAGTCTGTTTGGTTCTTAATTTCCCTGAATAACTTGGCATTGTCCACAAACATTTGTATAGAGGAGTGTAAAGCCTCTGGAATGTCATTTATGAAACAAACAAACAACAACGGGCCAGTACACTGCCCTGTGATACCCCACTTGTCACGGTTACACATGACAATTTCATGCCATTTATCACCACATACTGCTTGCGATCATGAAGAAAATCTCCAATCCATGCTAGGACACTTCCCTGAATCCCGTACCATTTCAGATTAAATCTCACCTTTTCATGGGGTACACTGTTGAAAGCCTTGGCAAAATCTAGGTATATATTATTGATATTACTGCCCTGTTCAAGAATTTGAGTCCAAACATCCAGTACCTTGAGTAATTGTGTTGAGCAGTAGCGTCCTGGCATAAAACCGTGTTGGTAGTCCTTTGCATCTCTTATAAAGTTCTCTAGTACTCTGGTCAGGCTTACTGGTCTAAAATTATTCGTGGAGTGACGATTGTCAACCACTACAAGATTCATGTGTAACGGTCTTCTTGTATTCCTGGAAGCACTGGGTTTGGTCTTGGGTATATATTTATCAATCAAACGGTTCACTTTATTGGCTATGATATTCAGTATAATGTCGGCATTCTTATATCTTCGTGAGTCAGACCAGTGAATACCCGGTACCCCTTACCCCTTCGTAATTGCCCTTGTAATATTTGAACCTTGACTTGCTTTTTTCATGAACCAAGTAACATTTAAATCTGAAGGGCAGCATTATGTGGTGATTGGTAGCAATGGGGGCTAGGTGTTCCAGCTTGGGAAACAGACCCTCCTTGAGTTGTGATTAGGTTCAGCGGTTTGGGTGTTTGTGCCCCTCTGTAGCGAGTTGGATCTTTAACATGTTGGAATAGAAAATTGTCCCTCAGAGTTTCTAAAAAAAAAGAGTAGTGGGATTATTAAGGTCATTAGACACAGTTTCATTTCTCAAGTTGTATGTCACCATAGTTAAAGTCCCCCATGACAAGGAGGTGGCTAGGCATGAGTGCCATTGCACTGTCAAGTGATATAGGTACTGTAATTCTAATTGCAGTGGTCCCTCGGTTAACGAACACAATTTGTTTCAGAAGGTCGTTCGTTAACCGAAAATTTCGTTAACCGATTACTGTATTGGCGGACTAATACTACAGCTGGTGAGCAGGCGAAAGCAGGCGAAAACATGTTGGGAAAAATTTGTAAGAAATTCGTTAACCGAATTTTTTTCGTTAACCGAATTGAATATTCTTATGGAAGGTAATTTGTTAACCGAAATTTCGTTAACCGAGGCGTTCGTTAACCAAGGGATCACTGTATAGGCTTAATGATAATAATGTGATTATTATTATTATTATTACTATTATCACTACGATAATTGCTTTTGTGTCTTGATGACAGGACTTAAGTGTCAAGGACCTTTTAAAGTCCACAACTCAGCTGCATTCCTACATAGGCTTCCATGTCTGGTATTGTAGGTGAACCTCCATAATCTCTCAGTTTATTTTGACAAAGAATTTACCCCTTGCTGGGATGACATCCTTTATAATCACACCATATTTTATTTCTATAATTCATTCATCTTGATCTGTTTCACAATAAATTCCTATAGTGTAATCAACTTTGGAACCATTCGATTATTTCAGATTCATTCCGAATTCAAATTGTTTACCGGTAATTCCTTTTTGAAAAAAAAATATGAATTAAGCTAAAAACCAAATTACTGTATCATGATCCGAATTAATGAGGGTACAGTGTATTGGTATCCTGTTTGCAAGTGCGAATGATCATAAGTCGGACAGTTGTAACTTGGGGACTGCCTGTATTGTAACTTTTATCAATCAGAGGATCTAGCATCTTTCTTAAATGATATAAAATACACTAATAATAATAATAATAATAATAATAATAATAATAATAATACAATATTCAGTAAAGTAAAAGACAGGTTTACAATTGGATAGACATTTATATAAATTATGCATGTACTATAGTACAGTTCATCATGAATATAGGTAATGTAGGTAGGTACTCCTCACTATACAAATGGGTTAGGTTCCTTGAAAACCATTTGTTAAGGGAATATTCATACATAATACATGGGGAAAATTAGGTTCATACCTAACTATCATAATTTAGTACCTAACTCCTGTAATTTAGTACTGTAACTCATCAAAAAATAATAAAATATAAATTTGGTACAATACCGTAATATATTATTCATATAAGGAAGAATAGCTTTTGTACATTGAGAAAGAGGTGTAAAAATAGAATATTCTTATTGTATAAGCCAATATTCATAGAGTGAATGTGCATATAAGCAAAGGATACCGGTATTTGGTGTATGTATGCTGTAGGAGCATATACTGTAGTTTCCTATGTACAGTAGCTAAAACAACTATCTGTTCATACTTTGTGGGAAACAATATGAGACCAAGGACGATAAATTTTGGTATATGAGGGCTGTCACTAGTCACATGTAAAATTTCGGAGCATATCGACCCCCACCTGCACAGACAGTTGTTTTAGCTACTGTACCTAGACAGTGTAGGTAAACAACAATGGTAAACAGAAAGGCAATTTGACCAAGGATAGCCAACAAAGCTGTCAGATACTCATTTCCATTAGGGTTCTTTGGTTAGGTTTAAGCTTAGTCTCTAATTAGTAATAGTATATCTACAGGAGTAATTGTAAAATGTTTTGGATAAATTCAAGAAGCATTACATTGTGCTTGGACTATCTGTGGCTGGCAGATCACTTCAGCAGTACAGTACGTACTTACTGTGGTTAATAAAATAGAAATTCACTCTCTTCTATTGCTCTATTTTCATCTTTATTTTTTAGCTTTGAATTGTTTGATACCATTACAGTACTGGTTTTGATGTGGTCAGGTACATAACTTGTTCTAGTCCTTTATAGCTGTGAAGAAGAGTTTTTTTTTATATACTGTATATATACATACTGTACTTGACTGCTGACACCAAGTACCCAAAAATTTTGATTACCCCCCCCCCTTCTAGTGCCCTGCCATTTCACATCCCTAATCCTTACAAAGTTTGTTGTTAGATACTCTTGGTACAGTCTGTTGAAAATTTTGTAAGCATGATTCAGCCTCAGTTGATTCACTTTATCTGCCACACATAACATGTTCAGTGATTGTAGGACTTTGTGACCAATGAGATCTCATGCTCTCATGACAAGAATGAACCTTACTGCTATGTTTTGAATAATTTATAGTTCAGATGAACATAAATAATATGAGAATTATGGGGATCATGAGACCGGAGGTGGGAATTTTCCGCTCGGTCCAGCCAGCAACCCGCCTTTCCTAACCTTCTCTCCGATACAGAATTAACTTCCTACTCCTCATTTTTCTTATTTGATAATTTTATATTATATTTTCTTTATTGCTAAGTCACATTAGAGCATTGTATTACAGTACCACATTGATTATTTTTGGAGTAGTTTGGAATATAGTGAATTTGTTGGAGTAGAGAGATATTACTGGAATCTGAGGGGGGGGATTTGGTATATACACTATACAGGTATAGGAAATTTTAGTATAGAGGTACAGTAATATGCTTGTAGTAGGATTGCATTTAGTGAGGGCTGCTTGTACAGGGACAGTACTGTATACCATTTATTCACTTATTCATTCATAGGGAGTCATTACTATTATTATTCAATCTCAATTGTCTTTCCAGTACAGTATATGGTATTTTATAGCTACAGTATTGGGCTTCAAGGAAAATGCTTTTGAAAATATTAAGATTCTCTTCTATTATGTCCAGTATGGTATTTCCATATTAGGTTACCAGCTACAATCTCACTACTGGTACCCAATCTGGTCAGGTCTACCTCTGAGGTTGTCATCTCCAAAGAGGTCACAGCTCCTGGAGCGGTTAGATCAGTATCTGAAGTTGGGTCACCAGCACTTAACCAAAGCCAACACACTTTCCTCCACTCATAGGGAACATATCTCAAATATGTTGCATTACCTTGGATGGTCAGTCACGTCTTTGTGCCAACATTGTGTAACGGAGATGTGACAATCGCTCAAGCAGTCGATTAGTGGCAAAGAGGATACCAAAAGTTTAAAAAGTTTTTAAAAAGTTTTTTAAATTAGACAGTTTCTGTTTATATAAACTTCATGTTTAAATGATTCCATTTAAAAAATATTTGCTTTACTGTATGCACAAAAAAGTGGACATCATTTTATCATCCCAACAACCTGGCTGAGTTGAGCAGTGTCTCATGAGAAATGAGGGTTTATAAGAACCGCTCAAACCCCCTTGGTCCACTTCTACAATACTTTAGATAACTGAATCACAAGAACTACATGCTGCTGACCATGAAAATTACAAGTCTCCCAATTTAGAAATAATGGAGGTGAAAAAATATATAATGGATATTAAATTATCTTACCAGTGGCAGTGATCCTTTCGTTTGGAGGAAACCAAGTTGCAGCAACCATGGCAGGTAGAGACAATGTCATGCAGGCAGCAAATGCAAACAATATGGAGCTAATGTGGCACAACCTAAACATGGATAATAACTTGTTATTGATAGTTCGTTACGAAAAAACCTTTTACAACAATAACAGCTATATTTCCTTAACTGTATGACACATAATAACCATAGGTGCATGTAAGTACCGTAAATAGACACCACGACTGACTCTGGAATTTCTATACTGTAGTACAGTATTACCGAGTTAGAACAAGGACAGCCGTGTATTGTATCCTGTACAGGTTGCACCTCCCTGATCCGGGATTCCATGGTCCAGCACCTCCCATGGTCCGGCACGATTTTAGTTCACCCCAGCCAATATCTGTCAACTACCTGGTGCACAGAACCTCATCTCCCTTCTGTCTCCTTAAGACACGTTACCTCGCTACACCACCGTGACCCAGTAGTCAGAAGATAGGAGCCAATTGCATCCAGTTTGATAATCTTTATTAAAACTTTAAGCATGCAAGAAATGCTTGCATTCAAAGATAGTGAGGGACTGCTTATTTTGCTTCCTTGGTCTGGCTACTATTGCAAGGTTCTTTCATGCCATTCTGGCAATTTTACTATGCTATAAACTAATACAGATTTGCCACATTCCACAAAATATGCAAACCACTGTATCAGGTAGAACTGATGTCGACTGTAGCTAATTAGTACAGGTAAACAATACTGTATGAAACTGTGGCAACTGGCTGTGAAGCTCTGTTGAGATCACTAGATTCACCCCGAAAAGTAACTTTAACTTTACACTGTAACATTGAAACTTTAAATTGTAGACATATAAACAGCAATAGTGAAAGCATATAAATCGCAATAACGAAAGCATGAAAAGAAAATTTTTTTGCAACTTTGTGTACATACTGCATCTCAGTCTCTGGGATGCTGGCTACCTCAATGCTCACCTTTGCAATACAGCCCAGCTGGGACGCTGCCTCGCTGCCTATCCCTAGTAACAGTACTCCACGCAGCGAACCCTCTTTATACCTTATGAGAATTATTTTTTATTTATTTTTATTTTTTTTTACACTTTCTGTATACAGTATATATGTAGGATTGTGTGTACATATCACTGAGTAAAAAAAAAATTACGTGTATCTACCCAAAACTATGAGTTGAAAAATAACCATAACACAATATATACAGTATAGCTCACAGGTGGAGAACTGTTGGAAATTTCTCCACCGGGCCCAGGAATTATTTGGCGCTCATTTTAAATAAATTGTTCCAAAACATATTCAGAACACTTGTAAAGTGAGAGAAAAGCAGGTATAAATAATTCAACCTTTCCATTCCATTTCCTTGAATATGCCTTTATGATTAGGACCCAAAAGTGTATACTCTGGACATGGACAGTGGAAAGTTAACACCAAGATTTAAGGGAAATGGGCTCAAACAGATGGAATGAAAGGCCACCCAAATTGAACCTTAAGTAACCTTTGCTGAACCAGTCTCAGGAGGTGCTATGAAAACCATCATGATCCAACACCAACCATTTAATAGGCCCCTAAAGGGATATACTGTAGAATAGAAAAAACACAAAACGTATCAAAGGAAGGTATTTAGTGTGATTCTCTTCATTCCTGAGGCAGTAGACACAACAAGTCCCTTAAACTTCTTTCAGAACTGAAACTAGTGTAATTTTCTGGCAGGCCTAGAACATATCAAACCACTTTATAATACTGACTGGGTTACTTGCTGTGAAATAAGATTCACTCCCTGAGAAGGAGCAAGTGATGGCAGCCTCATAAACTGGCACACTGGTTGTACACTGCCTTTAGTAACATTGTATGCTCTTGCATAATGGCATATAAGGTAATAAAATACTAAGTATTACCTGTACTTAGTTTTATCAATAAAGAACAGTAAGGGCTACTTGAGTAATTTTTAACCATAGTTTTACTTGCCAGAAGACCCACAATTGAATCAAACAAAGGAAACAACTGGAGAGAGGTGGTCCTGCATTGCACTGTGAAGCCAAGCATGTAAAGTGAACTCCAGATTCCACACTGCTGGTGTAATGTCATAGAACTATACTACTCAGCCTTAAGGAGTAACTGTTACATCTAATCTCCCTTTTTAAGGTCGATGGTTGCACAGGAGGACATAAGTAATCACTGAAGTAGTTCAGTCTCCTTGGTTTAGGGTGTCCTGGGTTTCAAATCATAGCTGCTGGTGGGATATTACATGAGTCACACTTGAGAGATATTTGGTCATAAAAATAAATAAGACGTGTAGTGTATAATTGTAAAAAAGTTTGAAGTACTGTATATTATATGACTGACCACTCAATATGGTGGCAGGAAAAGAGGGAAGGAAGACCAGAATAATTTGTCATATAAGATTAAAGTTTAACAAACAACATTTCTCTCATAAACGACAATCATCAGCTGATATACCATCTCTAGTTTAGACAGAAAGTTAATTGATCTAGGTAACTCACACAGTGAATGGGGTTTCCTGAGAAGAGAAGCATCGAATCACCGTCCCAATTGTGAGCAGTATGGCACATGTTAACACCGCTAACCGAAGACCTGTCAACAAGAAACAAAATATTTAATATAAGGCACCCAATTCATATAGAAATAAGTCCTATCTATACAAGTATCTGTTGTTTAACGATTGTTTATTTAGAGATATTTTGGTTTAGCAATTTAAAATTGCTAACGATCTGCAATTTTAAGTTTAAGCAATCTTCAACTCACTGTAAAAAATTCAGCAGGGAAGATGGAAGAAGTGGGGATTCTGTGCTCCAAATGCACATCATTACAATATTGTAATGTGGTTTAGAAATAAAGAAAATACTTTACTTGTACTAGGTAGTAGGTAGTAGGCAGCCAACAAACAGGGAGGTACTACTGCCTGGGAAGATATTGGAGGCATAATGTGTTGTCTAATGGTAGACCCTGCTGCCATATGGCATCACGAAAATTGTGACCAAGTCCCAGGTTGCTGATCTGACTTTCTGCTTCATTTACACACAATTGCAGGGTCACAATTGTTTCTCTTACCATTGACAACACAACATACATACTTGTATATCGTTTCTCACTTTTGATCTTTTTTCGTTTTTGTATTTATAGTTCTTTATTATTAAAATTATTATTATTATTACAGTTACTGTATTATTATCATTATTTTATTATTTTATTTTTGTTTGTTTTATCATAAATTTTATTTATTATGAATTATTATGACAATTATTTATTATTATTATTATTATTATTATTATTATTATTATTATCATTATCATTATTATTATTACATTTTTGCCCCCCAGGCCTCGATGTGGGTCAGCGACCTGTGTCCGGGTGGGCTAATCCCCGTAAGAAAAAAAAAAAAAAAATACTGTATACAGTACAGCATATTTTATAAGTGATATTTCCGTTAGCTGGAACAATTGGTGCAGAGGACTTCCGGGAATGAGAGATTTCTGGGTAACAAGACGACTCTCAAAGCCGGAAAAAATCCCTCATCCCCAGAATTTTTCGGGTAACGGAAAAATTTTCCCAGAAGTTCCAGAAATTGCCCATTACATCATCTCTCAAACCCAGAAAAATATCCCTCATTCCCAGAATTTTCTGGGTGCCAGAAAAATTTTCTCAGAATTTCCAGAAATTGCGCCTGATTTCCATCTCTCAAACCTGGGAAAAAATTCCCCATCCCCGGAATTTTCCAGGAATCGGAAAAATTTTCTCTGATTTTTTCCAAAAATGTGCCCCTCGGAAAATCATTCCCAAAGCCGGAATTTTCCAGAAAATTCCGGCTTTGGGAGCGATTTTCCGAGAAAATTTCAATTCCGGCTATCGGAGAGTTCCCGGCTTTGAGGGATTCCGGCTAATGGATATATTACTATACAGTATACAGTACTGTACTATAAAACTATAGAATGAAGAGCATGGGTGTACCATGTACAGTATATGTGGAAAGTGATGGTCTGTATTGAGGCAGTGACTGGCCAGCCGCACTCTTCCTCTCCCCTATGTGATGTCACAGCATACAGGCTGCAGCCACACACGTCTTTTGAGTCAGCTTGGTGACTGTCTGGATGAACTGTGTCGCATGTATACTGTACCAGTAAATGTGAGGAATACATAAAAATAATAATAATAAATAACTTTAAAGAAAAAATAATGCGTTAGCATTTGACAATCATTTTATGGGACACGAGACAGATCAAGCGAGTGATCCCTCATGCCTCTCCTGCTCCCCTGCTCTGTGGGCTAACTGCTGACCATGTAAGAACTGTTTGTTCCCTTTATTTTTTTGACCTGATAATGATTACCGTACTTTTGTTTGTTTTTACTTTCTGTATGAACGATTGTGTATGCATGTAAGAGAGTAAAAGAAAATTACGTATACTGTATCTACCTGAAGTTACGAGTTGAACAATAACTTAGTTCACAGCTCAGCCTCACCCACTCATGAGTGCTACTGGGTGGCAAGTCGGCCAGTCGACGACTCGACTACACAATTACGTGCCATCTCCACGGATATTATTCCCCGTTATCCCTTGTTAGGATATTTCATGTTTCTGTTCACTTAGTGATCTGTTTTTCAGGAACACATCCTGATTGCTAAACGACAGATACCTGTATATTAAAACCATTATCAGTACTACAGTAAACAAAAAAAATTGTCTGCACCTTTACAGCGTTATGCAATATGACACACTGAACCAAGAATTCTGAACAACACATATTTACTAGGGTGATTCCTGTTAATTTCTCTGTATACAGTATTGACTATATGTGATGTACAGAATGCAGTACTGTACATTGTATCGCTAACACAATGTGTCGCACAATCAGAAATACAGTACTGTACCAACCTTACCAAATGAATGTGACCTCAGTCAGACCCAGGGGTGCAGAAATATTTTTTGTTGACTGTACTTCATATATATTTTAACATGTAACAAAGTCATGCAACATTTCATTTTTCTCTTTAAAAATTACATTTACCTGTATATTCATAATTCTAAAAATCAAAATAATATTGGACCATGGGTAATGGATCTTTGGAATTAATCTGATGGAACATTGCACATACATTACACTACTGCTAAATGGCTTCAATCCTAATGTTTAAAGTATTATTTTCATTACAGCACTTAGTATGTGTTACTGTTTTATTTCTTTTATCCTTTAATGTTATTATTTTCATCTCATTTATACAGTAGCTACAGCACTCTTACCTAGCTTTTGAGTGAGCCACATCATGGGAATGGTGAACAAAACAACAATAATAGGTCCCCAGTTTGGAAAAGCAGCTATAGTGGCTTCTGTCCAACTAGGGAATGCTACCAATGCAGACTCGGAAATTGGTCCAAACGTTCCCCATACTACAGTCTGAAAATAGACTTAATGAATAAAATAACATGGTAGTTAGAAATATTGTTCTTTGTCGAAATGCACCTAGATACCATTCAGGACATACAGTATACTGTATAAATAAAATTCTAAATTTGTTTTGATAAAGCTTCGGAGTGAGAATTGTGAACTCTGGAACAATCTTCCAGAGAGCGTTGTGACGGCACCGAGTATGAGCTCATTCAAGGCCAGACTTGACCAACACTGGAGCAGATTCCAATATATTCATAAGCCAGTGCATGCCCAGTACTTGCCAACAATGTGTAAAAGAGATGCGACCGACCACCCAAGCAGCTAACAAGCTGAACAGTGGCGAAAAGGATAAAAGTAAAAGTAATCTAAGCTCCATTTCATCAATTAATGACAGGGATCCAGCTTAACCAAGCGCTTGGGAACTTCGTGTTTTCTTCTTTCCTTGTGGTTATCAGCATATATATATATATATATATATATATATATATATATATATATATATATATATATATATATATATATATATATATATATATATATATATATATATATATATATATATATATCATGTAGATCCGCAATAGAAACGTGGATAAGATAAATTTTGATAATCTCTTATGTTTGCTGTGTGGTTGGTGTGTGGATTAGTGGAAGTCATGTTTTTTTAACCTGACCTCATGTTTTGTAAGGTCATCCTGTGTACATAAGCTCTCTCTCAGTCTTTGTATTTCAGTTGCCTCTGAAGATGTCTTGAATAAAGACGTAAGTTAAGTTCTCCATTGATTCCCTTTTCCCTGACTAGTCACGTCAACCCCCTTCTCTTAAGCTCCTCTACGTGTGTGTTGGTGTGGGGATTAGTGGATGACATCATTATGACCTGACCTCATGTTTTTAAGGTCACCCTGTATATTTAAGCCTCTCTCTGTCCATGTAGTCCTGTTGCCTCTGAAGATGTCTTGAATAAAGACGAAAGCTAAGGTGCTCCGTTGTTTCCATTTTCCCGTGTGATTTTATCAAGATATATATATATATATATATATATATATATATATATATATATATATATATATATATACAATCGCTTTTCGGTTTCTGAGCCCAACATATATACCACATTAATATAATTTGGAGAATATTACCCCTTTAAACATATAAGGACACGGCATTCCGGTCATTCATCCGATTTGTTGATTCAAAACAATCAATATGCTGTAAATGAACATCATACTCACTTGTAAAAAGGCAATGAGTGAAAACACTGCTAAAATCCAAAATCTTGTGGAGTATGTTTGGTAAGCTTCATCTTGTGGAGCTGTTGTAATGGACGGACTGTTGGGGTCCGTTTCTGCAACAGGGTTTTTAATCACTGTCACAACCTTGTCAGCCACATTAATGTTGAGAATGTTCACGTCTAGAACGGCAGGGTAAGATAGCTTGGAAGACGCATCAGCCATATCCGGTATAAACTGTACTTCGCCCCTCTCCATTATTTTGCTCTGCCCTGTAACTGTAAATGCAAGGTTTTACTAGCAGTGACTGGATCTGTGTATTAGCTAACACCAAGATTTGAAAATGATTTGTGAAACATGTGTATCATAATGTTAACTGGTTAAGTTACTGTTTTGTACCACTTGTTTTTATACAGAGAGCTGAAACAACTAGGTAGAGTAGTAGGTAGTAGGCAGCTACCAATCAGGGAGGTACTACTGTAGTGGATTCCTCCCCTACAAACGCTGTTTGTCGCTGAGTAGCCGACCCCGCGAATTCCCCAGTGTATGCCTCGTGGTCTAGGTCAGCAACCAGCGCCGCCTTGCATGACGGAGGTCAACTATTAAGCCACGCCTACCTTCGCTGTATAAGACCTGACCTCGTGGTGACCTACCTCTCTTTCTACCTACACCAGCCAGCAACACCACCTCCTCCGCTCCTGCCTGGCGGCCCTCGCTCCCGCCGGCGAGCATGGCGACCCACAAGCTTGTCCTCCTCTGAGCACCCTCACCAACCAGCTCTCTCTACATCACGCTTGTATCCACGCTGCCACTTCCCAGCACCAAGCTGCACTGTACATCCAATACAATATGTATACAGAGAGCACATTGTGAGCTTCCTTTCTCCATCCCATCCTGAGTGTGAACCAAGCATCTCGTACGCTACACTACCGCCTGGGAATACATTGGAATCATAATGTGTTGTGTAATGATTGACCCTGCTGTCATATGGTGTCACAAAAATTGTGACCAAATCCCAGGTTGCTGATCTGACTTTCTGCCTCATTTACACACAATTGCAGGGTTTCAATTGTTTCTCTTACTTTGACAACACAACATACATACTGTATAGAATTTCTCACTCTTGATATTTGTTTTATATTTGCATTTATTTATGACTATTATTATTATTATTATTATTATTATTATTATTTATAATTTATATAAATTTGTATTATTTTCTTTTATTAGAATTTTTATTTATTTTTATATATTTTTATTAATTTATTACTATTATTAATATTATGATCATAATCATCATTATAATTATTACTGATTTATATTTTATTATATTGCCCCCCAGGCCTTGATGTGGGTCAGTAAAATTACCTGTGCCCGGGTGGGCTAATTCTCGTAAAAAAAAAAAATTATATATATATACAGTAAATAAGAATATCTTGGTAACTGTTGGAAACGCCCAACCGAGCGTGTCTCGCTGATGTTTCATGTATTAAGTGGCAGCGTTGACCATCAGCACATTCTTTTATATAACAGAATTTTAAACACACGCAAAACTCATGTATAATTTATGAAAGGATAATTGAGGTTAGGTCAGGAGGAGGCGGGGAAGTCAATAAGAATGGTAAGTGACATCTATGTGATGACAATTTTAATCAGTCCCAACACAAATGGAATTCATGTCCAATATTAAATAATTTGGAGTAAACATTTCACAGTCCTTCGCTGTGATGAAACTGTACATGGCAGGTGGACAAGGCTAGAGTGTTTAAAATGGAATGCTAGACACAACTGTGATTTATTCGTAACAATTCCTAAGGCTGCATTTACACCAAGCCAGTCAAGTCAAGTCAAGTCATGTCAAGTCATGACTCATCGTGAATCGCCACTCTAATGCACATTTACTCCAATGTATATTCTCAGAAACAATTCCCACCAGATGAGTCAAGTCAAGTCAAGTCACGTCGCATCGTGTCACGTCAAGTCACAGATGGGGTTGGGCCCATTTTCTTCATCAGTCACGCCGAGTCCACAGTGGTGTGTACATCATGCAGGTTGACGTCCTGATAAATTTAGTTCGAGAGCGTCCACCAGCTTTTTGAAGTTTTCAACTGTCATCCTAAAGAAATTGTAGAATTTGTCTTGATGGTTCACCAAGTTTGGGAATAAATGACTGAAGCTTCTAAAATGGGGTCTTTTGGTGTTGAGTTCATGCATCCAGATTCGAGTCCTCCTTTTGCGTTTACGACACCGAATCCACAGCAAAACAGCTAATTCAGCGAGAGAATATGCGTTAATCCTCCTCGAAATCAGTCTGGGTACTGAGTCCTGATTGGCTCAGGTTGACTCAGTCGGTGTGAACGGCAATGAGTCAAGTCAATCAAGTCAAATGACTTGATTGACTTGACTTGACTTGACTGGCTTGGTGTAAATGCAGCCTAAGGGTGAACATTATTGTGTTCTTCGTAAATATCATATAACTTAATGCCATTTTATGCTCAGACATTTTTGTGTAGTAAAAAGTAATTACTATTGACCTCAGAATATCTCCTAATATCAAGTGCACATGGCTTCAAAATGGCCTCAAAGTGCCCATGATATTGGCCAGGTTTCAACAAAAAATTCTTGAGGAGCTTACAGTGATCTCCCCCAAAACTCCCCAGCTGGATGGGCTCACTGTGCACATGCTCCCCCACCCACAATATCTTGGACCCCCTCTTTTGATATTCCTGGATCCGTCCCTGCAAAATGGGCTGATCATGTCAGGCAAACAGGAAGGTGGATAGGATGGGAGTGTATTGTGTGAGCTGGTTACGTTGGTTGGGAGGTCGGCACATGACCTGGGTCGGCCTCATCGGGCAGCTCGTCACCACTGCGTACTGTTGGCTGGTTGCCGGATCATCCTTTTATACCTCTTGCCTGGTACAGAAACAGCTCCTTTACTTATAAATGAATGTATTCTCTCTTAATTTTCAATACATTGGGAATGCGGATACAACTTTTTGTCATGTTTCTTCTTTCCAAAAATACAAGTGCCATTCCTTATTCCTTCACTTTACTGTTGGTTCGACTTTCGTGAGATGAGATGCAAATTTACCTTTCTCTAATTTGCCCAGATCCCTTTCATATTCAATTAATTAGTTCTCGATTAATATAAAATTATAAAGGCTCAAAAGTAAATAATTAATTGAAGATCTCATTTGGTGCACAGTTCACTTACATATTGATTAATACTCAACATAAAATTGGTAACAATATATTTTGTGTTAATCCATGCATAGAAAAAACATTATTTTTTTTTAAATTCCGTAATTAGAAGAGAAGAGAGAGTAGGAGGAAAAGAAGGAAGGAAAAAAATGGAGGGAGAATGTGTGCAGATATTGACAGGAGGCGTTAGAGTAGAAATGAGGGTATTGGAGTGAAGAAAAATAAGGAGGGATAAAGACTAGATGAAGGTAATGGAGTGATGGCAGGAAGAGTAGTAGAGGGAGTGAAGAAGAGTAGAAGAGGGGATGACAAGGAGGGGAAGGGGAAAAGAGGGATTGAGAAAGAGGAAGATTAGACGAGAGAAAGAGTAGAGGAGGGAGTGAGGGAGAATAGGAGAGGTTCACTAGGTATCGCCTGTCACAACAGGATCAGGTAGCAGCCCACGTGACTTTGTGTATGTAAGCCACGCTTCATGCCATGCCCTACACCACCCGCTATAGGCTATATCAACCACCCACATTCCCCAACCACTCACAGTACCCGCTATACCAACCACCCACACTAGTGACACTACCCACTATACCTGCCACCCACAGTACCTGCTGACTACCCGAAAATCTGACGCGCCTGCTGCGCAACTTCATTACGGACCGCAGAGCCAAAATCAAGATGCAAGAACATTTTGGAGAAGAATTCTCACTATCGAGCGGCGTGCCTCAGGGCTCTTGTCTCTCACCAACCCTTGACACACTCTACACGGCTGACCTGCCACCCCCAATCGTCGGCAGCGAGTACGTCATGTATGCCGACGATGTAACACAGATCGTCACTTGCCCAGGAAGGTCCACAGCAAGGATGGCGCGACTCACTGCTCGGGCAATAGAGGAGATCTCGGAGTATGAAAATGAATGGAAAATAAAAACAAACATAACGAAATTCGAGGTCATACCCATAGCCAAATTCAAGCCGGCGCCATTGATGATCGACGATGAAGAGATTGAGTACTCTAAACAAGGCAGGTTGCTTGGCCTCATCATCTCTCGGACGGGCATCATTCCCCACGTGAAGGACAGACTAAATAAAGCCTAAGTCGCCGCAGCCAAATTAAAACGTTTTAAGCTGATGCCAGAGAAGATACAAGTCCACCTGTACAAGGCGCTGGTGAGGCCTGTGTTGGAGTACCCATCTATACCACTCGTCACACTCGGGAAGACTAGACTACAACAACTACAGAGCTTCCAAAACAAGTGTTTGAGATCAGCCAGTGGCCAAGCGCCACCCTACCAGGAGACAGTGGAAACCATCCACCTAAGAAATAAAACAGAGGCCCTCAACGTCAGGTTCCATCGCCTAGGGAAGAAGGTTTGGGACAAGCTCCTGGACGACCCTCACAGCCCAGACCACCTACGCGGGGAAGACATCAACGGAGGGAGACCCCACGCCTGGTGGCCCCGGAGTCTGCCCGCACTAACAACCCAACCCGCGACCCATCTATGTCCGCCACAGTGATCCACCTTAGATTAAAACTTAGATGATATAAGTTCACATTTAACAAGTCACAATCTAGTGAGTCCATAACGTAATACAGTATAAGATTTTAATAAACTTGTAATTGTAAAACCAATCTAGTCATTGTCTACTAAAATAACCATTGTGCAACCTCATCCTAAATCCTAGGTTAGCTTAGTTAGCCAACAAACTCTGTAATATGTAAAACAAGGGGTGTCGTCCCCCTTTGTTTAACTTATTAAACTTCTTTTCCAACCTTTCCCCCCCACGACTATATGTTGTGACTTCTCTATTCCTCATGTCTGGCTGTGCCTTGAGCCCCAGCATGCCTTCCATTCATTCCCCACCTTAACCTAAAAAAAAAAAAAACTATACCCACCCTAAGATACCCGCTAGGACGCCACCCCCAATCCTCTACCCGCTGCCCATTACGCTATACCCCTATAATAGTACCACCCCACCTAGAGACACTACCCGCTATACCTGCCACCCACTGTACCTGCTGAACCTACCACCCATAGTACACCCAGATCACACGGTAATGCAGAGGAAACAACACAAGCTC